TCTATTTAGTAACATAACGGTAGATTTCGCATCGGAACACCTCCATTGCAGCGTTCGTCGAAACCACAGCAACGAATGTCAAATCTCGGTCAAATGCGGAATTTTCAAATTTCCATTGTTCTATATTATGAGATAAAAATCATAAACTTTTGCTAAAATTTGAAAATGCTACAAATTTTTAACATTTTTGTGTAAAAAACATGCCCAAAACATGCATTTTATGCCTAAATATGCCGTTTTAAGCAGTTGAAGCGAGAGAAAATGGACGCCGTGGTCTATTGTTTGAAGTGTATTGAGCGCCACCACGCGCAAACAATACAGTAAAAGGTGCATAACTCTACAGGTATGGCGCGACTTACAAACTTTTCAAACTTTTCCCAAACTTTCTCAAAGTTGCGTACATATGCCATGATGTAAATTTGGAATTAATTTTCAAAGTAATTATATGGCGTGTCAAAAAATAACAAAAAGAAGAATAGGACATTTTTTTATATTCTATTTGAGCGATAATATTGGAGTTACAGGCAATTTATGTTTCCACCTTGCTTTTTCCCAGCTGTATCGACTGATCTGCGCTTTATTCTTTCTTTAGCTCATTGATTGATTAATATTTATAGTTTTATGTGTCTTATATCGTTCCTTGAATAATCTAGTGTGGAAGAAACTAGAGAACTGCCCCTATAACATTACTGCATGCAGGTGTTAGGCAAAGAAACGGTACCACCCCTTCAGTTTTCTCAGCCAAAAAAAGTGCGACGAGGGTCTGTAAAACCTCTTTGTTGACGAGGAAAACTAAAGTAAAACATCGCGTGTAATCCCATGATTATCTTGGATAATTATTACAGAATAAAAGGCAAAATCAAAACGTAAAAAACATGTATGGGAGGTATTGTGTGGGGAGGACGCCGCGCAAACGTCTGAAACGAAAGCTAGGCAGGTGAGATAGAGTACAAAGCCTGGAATGAAAGATTTGCAGCGTAGCACGCAGAATAGACGTTATTGCAACGACCAGATGATTTATTGGGGTACTTGAACAGCAGATGAGTTGTTTCCTACACAAAAGACAGAATAATATATGGTAGAATAGAGTGAACAGTTAGAGACATGGGGAGGTCGAAACAAACGTCAACAAACTATAACCCCTATCAACATCCCTCTCTCTCCCACCAGCTAGCTCCCTCACTTAAACTGTTAACCGCTTACCCTGGCATTCGTCCTTGCCATATCAAATGAAATAAATGTCAAATATCTGCCGGCACCTGGACCCCCTCTTAACACGGTCTCATTACGATCCCGCATACCCCCTAATTTGGCGGACTTAATATGTACCGTTACATTAAGCCACCAACCGAAGCTTTTCTCCTAACCTTTGGTCATATGGCACCGTTCCTCTATAGACTCCATTTTCTACCAAGAAATTAAGTACATGCTTCAGACGATAAACGTGTGTTTCTAGTTGTTACATTATAAAATTTATTTATGCCCAATCACGTAAAGGGCGTGATTTGGACAGGAAATGCGCCATGCGGCCATGTTTTATAATAGGGGTGTAACAGTGGAAACAGGGTGGATAATAATATAAAACAGAAGGCCTCTACACCCAGTCTGTTGATACAATTGAGGCAAATAAAATTTGATATGTCACTTGTATTGAATCATGAAGATTCGACTGTTAGTTTAGAAAAAGATAGGGGTTATTCAAGAGCTTGATAAGAGGGTGCCATCTTGAAGTAGGGACTCGACATTTAAAAAATTCCCCCTGCTCAAGTTGATTTACCTTCCCCATTTCACGTGCGTGTAGACCAATTACACAACACACGGCATATTAAGCACGTGCAACTTTCTTCAATTAAAAATAACCCAAGAAAACTCAAGAAAAAACTGTCCCTGTTCGAACTTGTCTTTATCTTTGTAGCAGATTTTAAAACAAGATTTTTGTAACACCTGAATAAACCGAGGGTCTCTAAGTTTTCCCGCAATTTCTTGACTTGACGTCAAACGTTACGTAATGATGGGAGATCGTGGAATCAAGGCGCGTGTTCAATCAGATAGAAGCAGATGTAATTTAAAAGGTTCCAGAAAGTCTTTTAAAGTTAATAACACACTGCTTGAAAGGAGTTTCAATATTGCTTTTTACTTGTTTGGTGGGAAAATGAAATAGTTTCTGAATGGTATTGTGGCAACTGTTTACTCGGTATTGTCATAGTTTAATCGTTAACCGTTTAAAATATCACATTTTTTATCAAAATAGTCAATAAACTAATGTGAAGTACCAATTTAGGGGGAGGGAATAAACACTAGAAGTTAAACTGTGAAAAAAGAGACGATGACAAAATCATACTGAACTAAATACTAGGTGTCAACGCTTTTTCTGAAAAGGCTAAAACTTGAAAGAAAAAAGATTCTGGGCTGATAAAAAGCACAAAAATATCAAACATTAGATTAAAAGAATACACATGCGGTTATGACAGACGATGGAATGGAAGGCGGGAAACCATACGATGTCAGCAAAACTTAAAATGAAATTAAAATAACGTTCTGCTCACCTGAAATTGAAGTTTAATTGAGCTGGAGACGAAATGAGGGCATGGGAATTTTACCTTATTTCAAATCTTAGGTCTATCAAATTTTACTTTACCACCCAAAACAAAGCTTAAACACACAAACCTCTCAAGTCATACGTCAGAATGATAAAATATTGCCACTCGACGACTCAAGTTGTGGTTTAGTCGTTTATTTTTTAAAAGAGTAACATAGTGCCAGAAAACCACCTTAGTATAAGAAAGAATACCAACTTCTGAAAATTACCTTAAATGACACGTGTCGTTGCCATTGACAACAAATGAGAAACGTGTAACAGCTGACGTCAGTATGGAGGGTAAATTAGGCAAGGATTAGAATGCCGAAATGAGTTTTATTTTCTCATCAAAAGTCTATTTCACATAATTACTTCAATTTTAAGCATTTTAAATGATTCCTTGCACATTTAAAGATTTTTTGATAGGATTTTGGTAATAAAACAGGTGAAAATTATCAAAGAATCGAGAAAAGAACGTCTTTAATGAGGCTTGAAATGCAAACGACGTACATCATCACCGCCAACGCTCGTGGCCTCTCGAATGATTCCTCGTAACTTTTCAAATGGCTCTTCTTAATTGGAATTTTATTTAAGTTATTTAACAACGCATAAAAACAAACCCGTATAATTACTTGTTGTTTTCTGTGATATATTTGGACTCATTTCACCTAGTATGTCACTAGTATTGGTTACATATTTGCAAAAATTGTGAACGTAACCATGTAGCTACCAGCGTTTTCCTTTGGAGTTCCTAGTATCGACACTTCCTTTCCATGTTCCTCATTTCGTGGTAAATAATCTTGCAGCTTTGTGAGGTCGACTTATATGTTATTTCGTCAAGTTGGCCGTTAGCATACTGGATCAAATAACCACTGAAGTTACCTAAAAGGTAACCCTTATCGGATTTCTTGAAATTGGCTCCCACCTCCTCCATCTTCTTCTGAACATAAATTTACGATTGTCTGATAGTTGAACCATGGCAATTTCTATCGCTAAAATTGATGAAGCAACTCATGTTTTGTATACATATAGTTGATATGGTTTTCTTATGGAATCAACCCTATACAAAATTCTTTGTCGGTGTGTAGGTTAATATTATTACCAGTTTACAAATCTTGGGATACATTGCTTGCTGGAGGACAGGATTACAAATCTTGAGATACATTGCTTGCTGGAGGACAGGATTACAAATCTTGAGATACATTGCTTGCTGGAGGACAGGATTACAAATCTTGAGATGAGATACATAGCTTGCTGCAGGACAGGATTACAAATCTTGAGATACATTGCTTACTGGAGGACAGGATTACAAATCTTGAGATATATTGCTTACTGGAGGACAGGATTACAAATCTTGAGATACATTGCTTACTGGAGGACAGGATTACAAACTTGAGATACATAACTTGCTGGAGGACAGGATTACAAATCTTGAGATACATTGCTTGCTGGAGGACAGGATTACAAATCTTGAGATGAGATACATAGCTTGCTGCAGGACAGGATTACAAATCTTGAGATACATTGCTTACTGGAGGACAGGATTACAAATCTTGAGATACATTGCTTGCTGGAGGACAGGATTACAAATCTTGAGATGAGATACATAGCTTGCTGCAGGACAGGATTACAAATCTTGAGATACATTGCTTACTGGAGGACAGGATTACAAATCTTGAGATACATTGCTTACTGGAGGACAGGATTACAAATCTTGAGATACATTGCTTACTGGAGGACAGGATTACAAATCTCGCGATGAGATACATAGCTTGCTGCAGGAAAGGATTACAAATCTTGAGATACATTGCTTGTTGGAGGACAGGGCGCTTACTCTTATTCCGTACACACGAATTTACTACTTTTGTATGGTTCATTAGAAAGATTAAATGTTGATAGGGTATTCTTATTTTGCAATAGCCGCCTTTCTTGTTCCACAAATTTGATTGAATTCAACCAATCAGAGCCCTCGTCAGAAAAACTCATTATGGCTAAGTGTTTACAGACTTTCTATCGAGAGTTCTGATTGGCTGTATTGGCTGGCATACAGTTCAATCAAATCACCACATTTAAACACTTCAATGATACAACGAAAACGTGAAGATGCCTTCTCTTCTGTTGTGAAAGCTTTTCGAATACCTTCTTTGGGGATACCTTGATGCCCCTGGGACTACTATTTCTCTGTCATCTGAATCGAAATGAACACTTCTATAGTCAATTGTATCAACCCTTTCCGGTTTCTTGAAATTAAGAAATTAAGCTTCCGGAAAAAGCTATATGTAATCTCCCAGATGCAGCATGCATTCTCTATGGCATGGGCGGCACTTGGTCTCTGATAGTAACTCGAGATGAGGATTGGTCTCTAATGGTAACTTGAGATGAGGATTGGTCTCCGAGAGTAACTTAAGATGAGGATTGGTCTCTGAGAGTAACTTGAGATAAGGATTGGTCTCTGAGAGTAACTTGAGATAAGGATTGGTCTCTGAGAGTTGCTTGAGATGAGGATTGGTCTCTGAGAGTAACTTGAGAAAAGGATTGGTCTCTGAGAGTAACTTGAGATGAGGATTGGTCTCTGAGAGTTGCTTGAGATGAAGATTGGTCTCTGAGAGTTGCTCGAGATGAGGACTGGTCTCTGAGAGTTGCTTGAGATGAGGATTGGTCTCTGAGAGTTGCTTGAGATAAGGATTGGTCTCTGAGAGTAACTTGAGATGAGGATTGGTCTCTGAGAGTTGCTTGAGATAAGGATTGGTCTCTGAGAGTTGCTTGAGATGAGAGTTGATATCTCAGAGTTGCTTGAGATAAGGATTGGTTTTTGAGAGTAACTTGAGATGAGGATTGGTCTCTGAGAGTTGCTTGAGATGAAGATTGGTCTTTGAGAGTAACTTGAGATGAAGATTGGTCTTTGATAGTAACTTGAGATGAGGATTGGTCTCTGAGAGTAACTTGAGATGAGGATTGGTCTCTGAGAGTTGCTTGAGATGAAGATTGGTCTTTGAGAGTAACTTGAGATGAAGATTGGTCTTTGAGAGTAACTTGAGATAAGGATTGGTCTCTGAGAGTTGCTTGAGATGCCGATTGATCTCTGAGAGTTGCTTGAGATGAGAATTGATATCTGAGAGTTGCTTGAGATAAGGATTGGTTTTTGAGAATAACTTGAGATAAGGATTGCTCTCAGGAAGGAACTAAGCATGATGACTGGTCTCTTGACAAAACATGCATGAGGATTTGTCTCTGGATGGAACTTAGCATGAGGATTTGTTTCTGAGAGTACATAGGGAAAAGGTTTGGTCATTATATAGGGGTTTGATGTTGTGGATAAGAATAGTTATTTGAGATTAACACTATAATTGTCTTTGTGCTCAAAGGGTTATATAAGCTAAAAGGTAGATGACAATAATTCATACCTGGAGACCTAGTAACCATTGGCGGAGCCCCAAAGGCATGTTTTTTCGGGCCAAAGTATTATAACTTGGTTAGAAATTCGGGCAACCTCAGATATTTCGTCCCCTCTCGGACGTAAATCTGGCTCCGCCACTGCTAGTAACGAAGATAATCGGGGATAAGTTTTAACGTCTAATCATTAAACGAAGAACCTCGAGACTTTGGTGCCCAGATTACGCTTACTTGCCCATATTTCCAATGGATTAAACACAAAAAAGTGCATATTTACTCTTGGAATTGTTTGTTGTACTCTCATCAATGTTATATACGTCGTTGCTTCTTGATTAACCTATTTACTAATAAAGGTTGAATATTGGTTTGATTGCTCTATCTAGTAATTCTGCCAACTGTTACAGCAATTGAAATAACATCACGCCTTAACAATTACATCTAAATTGATTAAAAGTGGACTCTTGTGTTTCTGTACATAAATCTATTTAAAACTCTCTCAATTGAAATCCGATGATTTAATTTCACGCTCAGATTAACTGTTACATCTTGGCCGTTACGGTCATTTATTCTAAATGGGTTTTAAATTGTAGGGTCGAGTGGGAAACTTTGTAGAATACTTCTTGGCGTAAAGGTGACGGTACTCTATAATTAGGGCTCGGGCGACCCTTTATATAAAAAGAAAGATAACTTGCCTTAACTATGGACAGCGAGTTACCTGATCAAAGGGTTACATTTGAAATGAAAATAATTGCTAGGTCTGTGCTTTTCAACAAACCAATTTTCTTGTTGGTTGTACTTATGACTCAGATCAATTCTTCTTAGGCTTTTCTTTCGGATTCTATTAGATTTCAAATCCCTCTCATTCCACATACGTTAGGTATTGGGGGGTGCGAGTAGACACCGAGCCGACTCTCGAAGGCATTATCCTTTTTCTGACTTTGAGGAGGATTCGAATCTACGGTACGTCATCGCCTAGCCCACAATACAAGTCACTAACGATTGAGCTATTCCCTGGTTCTTACCAGGGTCGTATCTAGAAAAAGTCTGATTGAGGAGTGGGGGAGGGGGGAGGTGGTGGCATTAAGTGTGCTCTGTTTGCACTTAAAATTGACCGTTGAGCTTAACACTATTCGACCCCTTCAGTTACTAGTGCATCTTCAACTACCTGCAATAGCCAACATTTTTTGTATCACGGAATGTTGATTGCACGCCAGCGAATAAAGCCAATCAGAGCCGCCCCGTAAGAAAGACTACACATTAGGCCTATTATTGTTTCAAAGGCTTTCTGTTGAGGCTTCTGATTAGTTGTATTCGCTAGCGTAAAATCCAATGAGAATGCTGCATTTACAAACTTCTGTAACTTCCAGTAGATTTTAAATCTATGACTGGTATGACTTTAAGGGTCTTAGCTTTATCATTTCACCTCCCTGTTCAGGTATGTAAGTATCGGGTACAACTACGTTCTTGCATCATACCAATCATGTTCTTCGTCCGGTCGCTCATCGAGTGTTTCAGGTCCCGTGCAGTGGTGTATTTATGGGGTGGGCCATTAGGTCAAAATCAAAATTTCCAAAAACATAAATTAAAAATTCAAAAATATAAATAAAAATTCCAAAAACGTAAATCAAAATTTAAAAAACAAAACTCTATCTGTCTAACTGTTTTAATTCCAAAAACATGAATCAAAATTACAAAAACATGAATCAAAATTCCAAAAACATGAATCAAAATTCCAAAAACATAATCCAAATGGATGTAATGAAAGTTTAAGCCAATTCCATGACATAATGCTTAACGGGCATCGTGATTATGTTCGGTTTCTGGAACAGGTTTATGATTCATTTCTTCTCTCCATCTTCTAAATTCTTCAATTTTATGTGTGTGTTCATCGACTCTATTACCAATTTTTTTGATTTCTTGCTTTTGATTTTCAATCGCAGCTTTCAGACTTTCAAGTTGTTTAATTTGATCATCAGTTTTCATGTCTAGTTTGCAAAAGACCTTGTCAATTTTACTGTTCTGGTCGTCAGACTTTTTAATTTGATACTGTAACTTATCGTCTAATTTCTGATAATGAATGTCCATTTTCTTCCCTTGATCATCGATCTTGTCATTCAGTTTATCAAACTTTGATTCAAAGGTTTCAAGTTTTCTGTATAACTTGTCCATCTCAAATTGCGGTGGTGTCTGGTTTTCGCCTCTTTCCATGTTGCATAGACCAAGTACTTAACAAACAAACATCACCTGCAAATATATAGGTCCAATTACACTAAATTATGTGTTTATCAAAGTTATGTCCTGAAAGTAAAGAACATTCTAGTTCTCTAATCCGAGAGAAAATTTTAAAATCTTTTCAATCTAATTTATATCATCTAAATTTTACAATAACAAAATATGATCACTGTTAAATAATGAATAGTACAGCAATATAGAAATTTTATAACAGAGCTTGAAACATGTCGTTACCGAGTTGTACGCTAGCTAACAACATGTTTCAGGTTTTGTTTTAATATTTTTCGGATCTCTAGATTAGCGAGTAAGCGTCTTTCTAATGTTTCCACTTACCGTAGGTTCAGCACCCTTCAGTAGTTTACTTCACTGTATTTCGAATTAGTTTCACAATAACCGTTATTGTACATATATAGCATTATATATACTAGGTATATTTCGTCACATGAAACATACTTTATTAGGTGTGTAGAAAAAACGTCCCCACCTTCGAAGTGTATAGTATCTCAGTGGTTGGTAAACTGATCTCTTTCAAAATTCTCAGCAAGATGTCTTTGTCCAACCCTGAAAATATGAAAGTCATCGAATAGATATTGTACTAGAACTGCCCCGAATGAAATAGCATGTCAATATTACAATATCAAGGCAAATTACCTATTTCAACCTGTGTTCAATGTGACTTCCTTCTTCTTCGACCAGCAAACGCAACCGTTTTTTCTATCCCCAGATACTGTTACAGATCTCATCTAAAGGTATCTGCTCGAAAGAAGCGACTATCCTGCCTTTTAGTTCCTAGTATGTTTGTCCCGCTGACCCCGGTACACCTTTTCCTTAAGAGAATCCCAAATAGCATAATTCCTTGGATTACAGTTTGGCGATTCGGGCGGCCGTTCATTCTTGTGAATAAATTCTGGTCTAGCCCCCTCCAGATATGCTTGGGAAATCTTGCTAGTATCAGGGGCGCAGATCGCTTTTTCAATATGGGGGGGGGGGGGGGCAATGGCGTACGCAGGATTTACTCCAAGGGGGTCGG